AAAATGTTCTAGCCGAAGCATCAGGGGAGAGACCAGCCGGCCCCCAGACCATATCGGCTAATCCCTTGCATCTCTGCCACGCACGGAATCGGTTGAAAAAGTAATGTTAAAAAGTCTAGTCTGTCCGGTGCATTGTTTTCACGACTATTGTTATGCTGATTCGCCTGGAACCGTGGTCCAGTGGAAAAAAACTTGCGCTTCCATGACACTGAGTCAAGTCCGGTTGAGCGGAGTTAGTACCTGGATGGGTGACCTGAAACATATGTCTATTTAAAAAAATTGAAATTTCTTTTGCGTAACTTTCAATCGATTACAATCCATTTTAGTTGAGAAATCGTCGAAAATTAAAAACTGCCGGGCATTAGATCCGTGACTGGCAGTCTGTAATCATGAGCACTGCCTCGAACCGCAAGTCTTTGCGATATCTATTTTTAGTAACCGTAAAAAATGCTATTCCTTTCAATCTTCGTCTTCTGTTTGTATTTCAGTACGCCATGGTGTACGGCGGGAATTATGGCATGGCTTGAATGGAGGATACTTCCTAACACACCTCACAGAAAACGAACGTTTCATACAAAACAAACCAGATAAAACAAGTGTTCTGGACACCTTCAATCCACCTCAGAGCTTTTCGACATTTTATGGTCAGCGACTGAGTGCATTTTTTATACCGAGTATCAGTGGAGCTTATACTTTTGTAGCGACTTGTGATTCTGAATGTAAAGTTTTACTTAGTAAAGATGAAGGTCCTAGACATCAACAAACTATTATTAACTTAGATCAAGGACATAAGACAGGATACAACGAATGGAATAGGTATGTACTATAGTCAGGAAAAACTGTGAACGCATGTGCTTAGTGGTGAATTTTGTTTCAGCCAATCACAGCGCGTTTGGCTGTTYTGCCACCGGCCCTCATTCCCAGGCTACCCAGGCATAGTTTTCTGCTTTCTTTTGTCTAAAATATAATACACGACCCTACAAGAAGCAATAATATGAAACTGAAGAATAAAAACAATTTCACTTTACTGCCATGTTTGCTTCGTTCTTTCAATGCTTAGGGCCGCTCATGCTTTGCGCGCCACGTTCAACGCTCAGCTGGTCACGAGTAAATGTATAAGACGTATTTATACATTCCGTGAACAAATCTTGTAGATTTCCTGAACAGCGGTCGTGCCCACAAGATCTAGAAAGCCACGTGGTGTACTACTTGGAAGCTTTGCATTCTAACCACAAGGCAAGAGACCACTTTCGTCTTCGGATCATTCCCCCAGGAAAGCAAGACTTACAAGATATAGAGAAGAAATACTTAGTTCCCTACGATAAAAGTAAGTCATTTTGTTTACATGTGACGTCATAACCGCCATATTGGTCGACCCTTAACGAACGAAAGATTTTTTCCGTGGGGAAAAATGCACATCACCTATTAGATAATTTATCTATTGGGCCATTATTAGGCTTGTTCTAGTCTCCCTTGTGCATCTTCTAAGGCTGTACGACTAGTTTCCGTACCGAGCTCTGTACCGCGAAATTATTTTGGTAGAAAAACTCCACTCACGATTATCGCCCTAGTCTCTTTTCGCCAATATAGCTGTAATCTTTTTGTTTTTGTTTTCTAGTAAATACTGCAAGTTTGTTGTTTTTAGATTCTTTAGAATGTTCTGTGCTCAAGACGGATTGCGGGATTGTTTGTGGAGGAAGCAAAAACACTTTTATAAGACCAGTGAATAATGTTACCAAGTTTTGTGACTTTACCAAATATATTCCAGTTAAACCAACTTCTTTGCCAGGTAACAAAATAATTTGTTAACATTTATATAATCCAGGAAAGGGATCCAGGAAATTGGGATTCCTCGTCCAATCCTTCTTCCTTCATTATACCCACATCTTTTGTTCATCATATCTTATATGGCGTTGTTTTTACCGAACTCAGGAAAGGCCTATAGACCTCTTGCATCACTTTGGAATGCAGCTCAATCTGGGGTACAAAACAATAGGTTACAGTTCTCAAGGATTAGGATTCTTTCGTTTTGTCCCCAGATCGAGCTGCTTTAACGTCACATCCGAGGGGTTTATAACAGCCTCACATCACCGACTCCATATCTCCAACATCCCCCGTTTTTAGAATACTGGATATCCTATTTTTCTTACAGTTTGACTACTGTAACCGGTGGGCACTTAGACCAGTTACACAAGAGAATCAATTAAAATGTATGGTGACATTGATGCATTCAAACTTTGCCGGGGTAGTGTAGCCAATCAGAAACCTAGACTGAGAATTGAGAATTGACCCTTATGTTACGTGCAAACAACTAGATAGCCATCGTTATTTTCTCGTGGGTATAAAAAGATATGTTGAAAGGCCATTGTTTTCTGCTGCATTCTGATTGGCTCCTCTACCCAACGTTGGAATGTATTGTTTTCATTCTACAATTTAATTGGGTTTCGCTGTGTAGGTGGCCACGGTTATAACACTCGCGCGCACTGTAATGGTTCTGAGATTTGTAGCATGGAGCCATTCTAATCCATTCCTCGTGTGTTCGATCTCCAGATTATTTTCTTAACGTCTCTACCACAGTAACAAACTCAACGTCCATCAACGTGTTCTGGCATTTTGTCAATAGTATTTTTCCAAGTGGAATCTCTGAGTATAATTTGTTATACAGCTATAACACTACGATACCACGAGATGACGGGCAGAATATCACACAACGAACGTACAGCACAATACTTAGTGGAAACTTATCTGCAGTCACTTTAAATGGATTGAGAAAATTTACTATTTATTGTATTCGAATTGTTTATATTGCTCGTACTGTCAAAGGAGATTCAGGTTGTACATATGCACAAACACACGAAGATGGTAAGTATTTGATTATGATTATGTATTCAATTGACTCAACTTAGCTTCACGTCATTTACAACATCTTTGATGACTTAATGACGCAAACTGTTGGAAATGAAAAAGATTTCGTATGTCGGGTCATCATTTGTCCAAACAAATTGGCGTACACGGTACCGACACGGTCACGGTACGCCATGTCTGTTTCTTGAATTATTCACAATAACACGAAATCTAAGGCTGCGTTTATACACGGTACCTGACGAAAATCTAACCGGTCAAAAAGTTGTACATTTAGGGGTTCCGACACGGGACTGAGCTATGCAAACGAAAATTCCACGCCTAGCCGTGCAAATTTGGATTCGGTTCCGTATAAACAGAACGTATTTTTATATAATTAACGAGACAGTTCCGTGAAAACGGTTTGCACAAGTCAAATTTTTAACCGGTTGAAAATTCGTCCGCCCGTGTATACGCAGCCTAAGAGGGCGTACCATTAGAAACCGTTGTAAATTTGTTAAGGTAAATTGCGCATGCTCCAACAGTTCCAAGCATGTCACCATCACTACAAGTCATAAATAATGCTATGACGTCAATACGTGTTACCTGGCAACCACTACAGGAACGTTATATACATGGTGTTTTACGAGGATACAGAATAAAGATCACCAACATGAATGAGTCAAGCAGTCTACCGGAGGTTATTGTAACCGGAAGTGACGAAAGTTTTAAAATTGTGAATGGAGTCAAGAGACAAACATATTATTGTGTGCGGATATTAGCTTTTACCAGTAAAGGAGATGGGCCATTCAGCGAGTGTGTTTTTATTCTAACTTTAACTGAAGGTAGGTGGAAACTGAGGCTAGTCTTAACTAAACCTTTGTCAAGTAACCTTCCAAACAAAATCAGGAAAAATACAAATAGCTCGATACCATACTAGCTTTGGCAGCCATTTTGGTCTCTGACAAACAATCCATGCATGCTTTGCGATGGTAATTGGGACCCAGTCCCAAACTCTCTTTATCAACGAATGGAGGTTTTGCAGCATCACGTGACCGGGCACCCATGCTAGATGGCTGGAACAATACAATCGTTTTACATAAGAAATGATTTAATTTACAAGAGCAAAGGGACTTTTGCCATCTAACCACAGGCAGCCCAAGCTATATTATGGGCATGAGCACGTGATGGTGCAAAACCTTTCACTATTACTTTTCAAACTTTGCCGGAAAAGAAAAAGAATTATTCTCAAAAGAATGACATGACTTAATTAATGGAAGAAAAAAAGGGGAAAAAAAACATTACGGACAACGAAGGGCCAGAAAAATTGAATGTCCATAACAAAGATGTAGTGATTTTGCTGGAATGTAAATATCTGTTTGTAATATACAGATGTCCGTAAGGAAAGGTTTCACTGTATCAAAATATCAAACTAAGAAGATTTCTATAAAGATAATGATTGCTCAACTTTGCTTTGACTTTTTACAGATCATTTGCTAAATATCACAACAATTACAACCAGCTCAACTACAATTCAAGTTTTCTGGAATTTCGTCAATAACTACGTCCCTAAAGACATCAATGGATATCGCTTAAGCTACACGTATAACATGACCATACCTGGATCGATATCTGAGAAACACAATGTAACGCTTAGGACGTTCACTACAATAATTAATAGAAATCTATCAGCAGTAACTCTAACTGGATTACAGAAATATACTCTGTATTGTATTCAAATGGAATATTTTACTAGTGATGACGAGGGAGGGTCAAATGGCTGTACGTATGTCAAGACACACGAAGACGGTGAGTGATAATGCCAATGATCAGTAGCGCTTTCCACGGATGACGTCACAATCGTGCCTCATGGGATCGAAAAGCGGGCAAGCCATGTCCAGTACACATGTTAACATGCTGCAACAATATTTTGTAGTCTTGTTGTTTACAATTCTCGGAAGAACTATGGTTTTTCGACTCATTATTCTTTTCCATGTAATCGAAGCCTTTATTTGCAATGTTTGTTCGCATTTCAATCCCACAAGGCTTTGCAATATCTATTTTTAGTAACCGTGTAAAATGCTGTTGTGGTAAACGTGCGGCACCTTACTTGTCAATAGACTCGAATTCGCTTGAGTGACCACGAAATAATGGTTCCAAGTCAGTTGTAAAGTACTTGATAAATTTAATAAATGTATGAACACATCAAGTCCAACCTCGACTTGCAACCATTATTTCGTTATGGCTATATTGGTACCGCTCGTTTACAATACCGCATTGGATGGAGAGGTTGATTGTACAAAAGTTTGTCAATGGGAAACAATTTCAGTATAAAACGTTAGGTCATATTCTCACGCTGATGTGGATTTGATCTATATTGCGCATGCTCCAACAGTTCCAAGCATGTCACCACCACTACAAATCATGAATATTGCTATGACGTCAATACGTGTTACCTGGCAACCACTACAGGAACGTTATATACATGGTGTTCTACGAGGATACAAAATAAAGATCATCAACATGAATGAGTCAAGCAGTCAACCGGAAGTTATTGTAACCGGAAGTGACGAAAGTTCTATTACTGTGAATGAAGTAAAGAAGTTCAATCTTTATTGTGTGCGGATATTAGCTTTTACCAGTAAAGGAGATGGACCATTTAGCAACTGCACTTCTATCGTTACATGGACAGAAGGTGAGGAGGTTAACTTCCCAGACTCATGAACATCACACTAAGCCCGGTTCTCCATGCTTTCTTCCAGAATAATGAAGGGTGTTTGCGGGATTCGGGAAACAGATGAAATATAGCGCCGGATGGTCGGGAAACTAGAAAAGAATTTTACTTGATTAAGGATATTACCATCTGCAGTGACTCGGTAATTGCCAAATTCCATGTCCGGGATGCGGGAGTTTGGTTTCTTATTTTCGAGAAAAACGTGAAAAAATGAATAAGTAAAACAAAAAGTCAAACGCCTTTAAATATGTTGAATTAGGTCGTCGCTTATAATCTTCGCGGTACGCGGGATTACGGCAAAAGATAGCGCGTGATTCGGGATCCGGATTCCCCCCTTCCAGATCCTGTGAGAAAGCAAGGTTAGTCAGTCAGAGATAAGAATTCTGTCAGATTTGTGACACTGAACAATAAAGATTGTGCTAATGTTTTCCAAGCCAGTCATTTCCTTGATAATCATTTCTTTATTTGCCAAAAAGGTTCGTAAAATCTAGAAAGACTTTTATTCGCAAAAGAATTTGAAAGAAATTTAAAGGGGAAAACATTGGAATCAATGTTTTCCAAGCCAGTCATTTTCTTGACAATCATTTCTTTATTTGCCAAAAAGGTGCGGAAAATCTAGAAAGACTTTTATTCGCAAAAGATTTGAAAGAAATTTAAAGGGGAAAACATTGGAATCAATTTGTCTGACAAAAACTCAAAATCATTACAAACAGAAAATCGTCAAGCAAATCTGGTAAAACTTTTTATTGCAGATTTGTTACCACAAACAACGATACATAACTACACCGGAATTACGTCATTCAACATCACGTGGGCACCGTTGCCTGGTTACCTACGCACTCATCTGATTGGTTATCTTTTGTCATATACTGCAATCCAACACGCTGATAAAGACCTAGAGAATGAGCATTCATATGTCATGAACGTTACAGCTAACGTCACGCACACTAGCGTGACAGGTTTGAGGATCTACACTGTGTATAGAGTGGAGATAAGACCGTTGATCAGAATAGGAGTGGGGCGCACAAGACTTGTTTTGATTGCAGGTATCTGTAACTGTTAATAGAAACACAGGAAACCCACAACAGATAAAAACCACCCGGGGAAAAAATATATAGCCTTGCTATGATGAATGGGCTAACAGACCCGTTTCGAATTCCAAATTACCGCTGTGTTTCTTGATTACAGACTCATTTGCACAGGGTTAGCCTCGAGTTTGTGCAGAATATTCACGTGTTCCAGTCAAGGTCCGTCGAGTTTCAAAGTGTTCGTATTGTTGAAGTTGTGCATTCTTAACTTAACCGTTGGTATTTGTGARTATTTAAACACTGATACGAGGCTAACCCTGTGCAAATGAGTCTTTAATAAAGGAACACAGCGGTAATTTGGAACTCGAAACGGGTCTATTACCTTTACCTTTTGTGGGTTCCCTGTGGTTAGAAGTATGTATTGCGCTTATTGCGCATGCGATTTTCTCGAAACACAATATATCAACAGCATCCAAATCTGAACTGGTGCGATGAACGCAATCAAAGTAAAAGGAAGAAGGGAACCATACTGTGAGCATTGCGTGCTACATTTCTGGTGTTGGCGTGACAATCGAATACTATTTTTAGCCACTTGTAGGTGTAACCCCATTATGAAGGCCCTATGGAGTCCAGTCCCCCCATACGCGGTCATATCATCAACATCTACTCCAACTGGTCTGATACCACGAATCCTCTCCGATATGGTGGGATATTCATGCGGGCAGTGCTCAGAACATGGTCTTCCTCGGATCATCTATCAGCTTGACCCTCAAGGCTCCTACAGGGGGATCAGAGATACTGAAATGGATCGAGATAACGTTGACTTTATCTTTCCTGTTCGGCAATCAAAGGACAGACAGACAACTCCCAATGGAAATTACTACGTACCCCTCTTGGAAGTACCCGGGTTTGCGTTTTTGACTTCTGTTAAGACAGAAATGGCTTATGCAAGACAGGTTGCGTCTTCGGTGTTTCACTGTTGGCCGATTGTTGCCATTAGTTTATCGATGACTGTTGTATCAGGATTCTTCTTGTGGATTCTGGTAAGTCATTTATCCACTTGAAACAGAAATAGACCTCTTTACCTTGAGCGTAATGCTATTCCATTTCAGACCACGTGTCATTCCATAGAGTATCATTTCTTTGTCTAACGGTTGCGCATGAGAATCTTATTCTCAAGAGAATGGCACGTGGTCTGAAATTGAAAAACAGTCCACCCAAGTAAAACAGGCTTATTATGTACCTTCCATAATCATAAGCACAAAACACAGGGACACTCTTTATTTATTTTTCTCATACTCATTAATAATTCATTAGTAAACCAGCCAATCAATGGGCTATTTTTGGGTCACATGATGTTATTTGAAACCTGGTAAAGTACTGTGAAAGGAATGCATTCAGTCTGGAGTAACTGGAACAAAATTAATTCAGTCCTAGTAACTGGAACAAAATTAATTCAGTCCTAGTAACTGGAACAAAATTAATTCAGTCCTAGGACTGAATTAATTTTGTTCCAGTTACTCCAAGTCGAATAATTAATGAGATGAGAAGTCATTTCAAAGCCTCCAATATCGGACTGGACGGGATTTCAAGTCCGCGCAATTAGTTCCAGTCCTCGGCTGCGCCTCGCACTGGAACTAATTGCTTTGACTTGAAATCCTGTCCAGTCCTCATTGTCGGCTTTGAAATATTACATCAAAAACCTATACAATCCATCCTTAGTATAGATGGATAAGGGTCAATATATATTTGATAGATATATCTGATGGGAATCCCACTCATTCTGTTTGCAGGGCATGAGCCTGAAAGGTGAAAGGGCACTCTATTTGAATATTTAAAGTCGTTCTATTCTATTCTTAGGAAGCAATTACAGACCGCCGTAAATTACCAGCTCACTTCTACCAAGGGGTGAGCGAAACGGTGTGGTGGGCATTCGTCACCATGACAACCGTAGGGTGAGTTAAACATATTACCATGACAACCACGATACTACGACAGTCCATCTCGATAATGATTTTTCTGAATTCCGGGCACTAAGTATAAAAGAGGAACTATGTTTGAGTGCACTTTTCGTGTGTGTTTAGGTATGGTGACAGAGTTCCTAAATCTCATATCGGTCGAGTGTTCAGTATTGCATGGTTCTTCATAGGATTAGTTACTGTTGCCCTGTTGGTTGGTTCAATAACGTCTTCTCTCTCAGTCAAGATTCTAAATGAACAGCTTTACGTCAAGCGTGACAAAAAGGTAGTTCCATTTTTCTTAACACACACACACACACAAATCTATATCTTACCAGGATTCGTGTTACTCCTTAAACTCCATGAATTAATTTAATTCACGCTTTCAAGTGCACTCGAAAAACTTTTGAATTTTACGATGTTAGCAGAAACCCTTGAATTTTGTGGATATCTCAGCACGAACCTGTCTTACATGGTGATACGGGGAGTGGTTGCCAATTCTTCCTAGCCAAAGGCTAATGTTTAAGTATATAACACACTCAATACACATTTAATAGCCATTCAGTCGAGGTTTATGAAAAACTGGGTCGAGTGGCATTGCAGTGCATTGTGGGACTGGTTTAGGGGACACATTTCCAAGATGGCATCTATTGCGTCGCCCGAAACACTGCATTTGCTTATTGGACGCAGTTTCCCCCCAGTTTTTCGGAATTGCTAATGCACACAACTCCCAACATGAAATATTTGTGGTTGATGAGTTTACATCCCTTATCTGTTGAGTGCATGTACTTTATGTCAGTAGTCTATATATATATATATATATACCTCCAGCATAGTCTACTGTGTCGTTCATTCCCGTCCATGATTGCCAGAGCCTTACTTTTTCTTGCGGTTTATTTCAGCTAGCATCTCTTGACAACCCACTGGATTACAGGGCTTTGATGAGAGTCGATGAAAGAGCAACGACACGTGAGAAAAATGCTGATGAAGCAATCACCTTAAAATCACCTCATGTTATGAACATCAGTATAATGCCACTTCACGATCATTTTAGTGCGATAAACGAACGACCGCTTGACGACAACCTCACGATCACTTCACGATACTAATGAACAAATGTGACGAACGAAAAACTATCATATACGATCACTTTATGATTAACTAACGACCGTCGTTCGAGTACATCTCACTATTCCCGATCGTCAAACGACTGTTCAACGACTACAACACGATCAACATCTTACATAAATCCCAAGTTTCAATTACACTACTCACCAAACAATCACCTTTTATAGTCACCTTAGGCTGCGTTAATAATGTATGGCAGAGGGAAAATTTTGGTAGGAAAAATGGGGGATGGCCCGGGG